GGGGGGGGGGGATCGACCGGTATGATGCGGGGGCGCCGCAAGCCCGGCCCAATGCCCCGGGGGCAAATGCTGCGTCTCTGCCTGGGGTCTGTGGGGGATTGTGCGTCCCCTTCCTGCCAACAGGGGGGAGGGGGGCAGGCGAGCGCCGGAGAAACATCGCACCAGAGTGGGGGCCCCTTCGCCCTGGGACCCTGCCACCGGCGTTTGCCGTCCACCCGGCCGGGGCCCAGACCGCCGAGGCGCGGAGCGGCAAAGGGGTGGCAATTGCGCGAACGAGCGAGCAACGCCAGAGCCAAATTAATGACCCGTGCGATCGCATAGTCGCCCAGGTCTTCGGCAGCGTCGCCCGGGCGCCCTTCTCCCTGCCTGTGCAGGGCGGGGGGGGGGGGGGGGCGCTTGCCACCGCGGCTCCCCTGCCCAACCGGTCTGGCGCGCCGCCATGTGCACATCGGTGTCGGACGCGCAAGCGGCCGGAAATGCCCGGGAAAACATGCGCTCCCCGAGGACCGGCTGATCTGTGGCGACCTCGTCTGCACGCACACGAGGGGGGCGGCCAGCCGGCGGGGGGGGCCAGCGCCGAACGATCTTGATGGTGATCGGCCGCCGCGCCCCCCCCCAAGCGCAGATTCACACATCTACGGGTGTCTAGCCCTTGATCAGGCACGTCTCCAAATGGGGGATGGAGGGCCCGAGTGACTGTGAGAAGGGGGACACAAACCACTTTGGGGCACATTGAGGGACAACCAGCCCGACGCCAAGGGGCGAGGCAGAGAGTCATGGGCGAGGTTCGCGCTCGCCCCACTATGTGCGGTGGCAATTTTGGCCGCTCTCCGGCACTGAGTCCGGCGGCTGTTATTGCCTTCCGAAATACTTTGTCCCCGGGAGGGCGACCCAGCGGCAGGCCTCTCGCGAGCTGTGCCCCATGCGGCGGCCTCCGGTCGGGCCGTCCCTCGCGCCGGCGGACGACCGGGAAGACGCCAGCAGGCTGTGGCTTGCCGCTGCCCCGCGGCGAGCACAAGCAGGCGCACACCGGGCCGCGCCACAACCAAAGGCCCGATGGACCTGACTCACAGCCGGGACTCAACGCCAGTGACGAGATATTGATTGTCGGTCCCCCCCCCCCCCCGCCTGGCCGGCCGGGAAGCCAGTTTCCTCGTGGGGGCTTTTGTTGTTTTTTTTTTCCCCCCGCCCCCCTCCAGCCAGCCGCCTGGGACCAGGCGGGGCCGGGGGACACGAGTGTGCGACGGCGGCTACGCGCACGGGCAACAGACCGCCAGGCATGCAACTGCGCCAGCAGCCGAGCTCCCACTCCCCCTTCCCTGGCGCCATCCCGGTGCACTGGCGCGCTCGGCCCTGCCACGCATGCAGCAGGGGCGAGGCGCCCCAACGAGCACAGGCAACACGCGCAAACACACACACACACACACGCGCATCCATCTCCGCGCACGCACGCCACTGAGGACGCCCAGAGGGGCAGCGCTCCTCCCGGGCGAGCCAGGGGCCAGTCTTTCCCACGCGGGGCACCGACCGCCCGGCGCTGGCATTCCTACCTCTCGAAGGGAGGGGGACCCCGCCTTGGGGCGGCTCGAGGGAGTCATGCGCGCCCGGGCCCGGGCCCCCGCCCTGTCTCCCCCCGCCCGCAGCCACAGCGCCATGAGACGGGGGGGGGGGGGGGGAGAAGGACAGGGAAAAGCCCAACAACCAAACGCCCCCCCCTCGGGGCGCTGGTTCTGCCCAGGTCGCTCTGCTCGGATGCCGGCGTGACACTGCTGTTTTCGCTGGCCGGCCAGAGCCGTCGGCCCGGCTATCGGCGGGGGGGGCGGGGCATGCGCATTAAGTCGCACGACCCGCATGGTCGCTTTCCCGGGAACAGTGGCCGCCGGAGCCGGCGACGCAAAGTGTCTGCAGGGAAAGGCCCCTAATCTCCCGGCGGACCGATGCACCCCATTCCCCCCTGGCACCATTGGTGGTCCTTCGTCGCGCCGGCGGGCTTTTCGGCCACGGTGAGGTGACACGGGGGCGCCAGGGAACACGGAGCAATATACACCCAGGCACGTGTGTGTGTGTGTGTGAGGGGGGTCCGTCGGTGCGGTGTATATATGCGTGAGTGTGAGCCGCCGCACGCATGCGTCTACAGAGCACGGGAAGTGCCAGGCACACACATACAGGATGCATATTGCCGAGCTATTATTAGAGTGGGTGCTGGATTTCGGCTCGGCGGTTTCGCCGTCCCCACCCCCCCCCCCGGGGGGCGGGGCGGGGATGATGGAGCCGACCACTCGATGCCCGCGCGCGCCCCGCCTCTCCCCGCTTCCGGGCCGGGGAACCCCCCAGGGCGCATTGGTCGTTGAGCCCTGAGAGCACCCTTCGAGCGGACCCGGGCCCGGCGGACCCGGGGCCGCGGCACAAGGGCGCCGCGCCCACAGGCCCCGGCAACACCCGGCCTGCTCTCGCTATGGCCCCTCGCCACGGAAAAGCGAAGAGGTGGAGGTGTTGGCATCTCCCCTCTCCCAGCCGGGGGGTGAAACCAGGCCCCTCCCTCCTCCGCCCTTGCGCCACTTGGCTTTCGAGGGTGCCGCTCGCGCAAGGGCGAGCCAGACATCACCTGTACACTATGATGCCAAAGGGGAGCCAGCCCCATTCACACGGCGCCATACTGGAGACACCGCGTGCTGCCGGCCGCCGGGGCAGCGGTTGGCCGCCGCCGCCGCCGCCGCCGCCAGCACCACCCCCCCTGGCCGTGACGGCCGACCGGGCCCGGGCGGAGAGGAGATGGCCCGAGGGCGCGTGGCCCGCCCAAGACACAACACCGGTCACTGGGAAGATGGCGAGAAGGGGGAAGGGGCCGGGGCCGGGGGAGACAAAGCCAAGCGTGTTGCGTGCTCTGGCCGCCTCTTTGCTGAGCATTTTTCCCAGATGTTAACCGCTGGCACGCCCGTCTTGGCGAGCCCCAGGGCGCGACAACCCTTCGACTGCCCACGGCGCCGAGGGATGTTGAGTCCCCACCGTGACATACCTGCCGCCGGGAGGCCGCCCGACTGGGCGCGGCAGCTCCCCCAAAGAGTCCCACCGGCCCCCGCGCCTCCTCCCGTTCCGGTCTCCTGCCCTCTGGGGCCCTGGGCCTTCGCCCCCCCCCCCCCCCCCCCCCCCCCC